CCACACATCAACTTTCTTGGCATCTCTCAGAGGTCTCTCCTGGAGTCTTACTGAATGTCAAGGATGGGTAGTGTTCATTCAACTCTTCTGAAATTTTTTATCGCTATTTCAGAGATTTGGGATGCTGTTATTTTTTAACCTATGCTATCTAGCATTGTAATAAAAGGACCCTTCTCTTCAAATAAAGAAAAGGTGAACAAATATAAAATTGTAAGGGTAGCTGTATTCAGCCTGATATATGAAAATATAGTTCAGAATATTCCAGATGTAACATCAGCATTATTGTTGTGTAATAGTCACTTGGTATTTATTAAATGTGTGTTGTAGGAATTCTAATCTGCTGCTTCCTTATTTTTTGCAAATGTTGAAGCCCCAAACATATGTTGTACTGTTGTGTTTTTTTCAAACTTTTCAAATGATAAAGCAGTACATTCAATTCTTGGAGTTGGCACGTTTTAAATGTCAAATGTATGAAACAACTCTGAAATAAAGAATTTTTGTTTTTAGAAGGCATTTTACCCATGTGTGCAGTTATTGAAGTAAAATATTTGTACTTGGCTGGCTTTTCTTTACCAAATGTCATGGTTCAGACCTCCCTTTGGTTAGAGATGTAGGGGATGCATCCTTCTGCTATTAAATAAGCAATTAATACTCAGTGTACTTGGTAGTTATTATATGAAATTGTCATATTTTTTGTAACAGATTTGTGCTTGAAAAGCTCAAATATGGAGCTTTTGAATACATACACTTCATTTCTAATTTTATTGTCATTCCATCTAGTGTTTAATGATGCCCTTTGTGAGACTGTTGCTGTAGACACTAATGGAGTGACCAGAGGCTGGCGTTGATGAGTGAGAGGCCCTCTCACCTCATGACTCAGCTCTCAGGCAGGCTCTCTATGTCCCCATGGTATTGGGCTCAGGTTGTCATTTTTCACATTCACTGAATGGCCTTTCAGGACTTTGCCTCCAAAAGCATCATTCCAGATTGTGATGGTTCAGTTCTTCTCATCCTTCTCCTCTTCATTCTCTTGCAAAGAACTGCATGCGTGTAGTGTCATCATTAGTATTGCATAACATCTTTCATGGGAGTACTAGATAATCCTGTAACTAATTTTCATGCACCCCTTTTCCCATCCCACAGATGCTAGGAAATCACATGTACAATCCCTTTGGAGGCACTTGGTGGTCTCAAGGTAGGAGCTAACACATCTGAGGAACATAGGTTAAGGGCTGGTGTTTGGAGGCAAGAGGAACATGAGCAGGACCAGAAGCCTAAGCCTTTATGAACCATCTTACTGACTTTTGCAGGAGAAGCCCTGGGGCCTTTCTCTTTTGTCCTGTTTGCATGAGGTGGCCTGTCAAAGACCACCCCTGAAGATTACGTGTGTGTTTGTGTAGGGGTCATAGGAGGTATAAAGTGAAGATGGTCATGTGGTGTGCAGACTTATTCTAGATTGATTAGAGTGAAAGCCTGAGGGAATCAGAAGTAGGAAAATGAGTAGGCACTGGGGAAAACTGTGTTGTCTAGGGAACAAGCATTGCTCAGTGTGTTTCACTCTCCAGACCCCTCTCTGTGCTCTCACTGTTATTCTAAGCAGCCTCTTAGCAGCTTAGATCCCATGATTGCCCATTTCCATTTGGGTGCATTGGCTTTTGTACTTGGAGTCTTGCTTCCCGGTGACATTAGGCCCTATTTCAGCACATCATAAATCTGCCTTGACTGGGGTTCTGCCAGGTCTGACTCCTTCCACTTTACTACCTCATCCACAAGCTTCCAAAATTTCTAACCATCCAAATGCTTTCACATCTTACTGACTTCAGCTTCTTTATCAACTCAACTCTAGGATTTATTTTAATTTTTTATTTTTTTCCCTCTTTGCTGTTGTCTCATTTTCTGTTGATTGGGTTATCTGCTTTTGGTATGTCAATTAAAAACTGGAGATTATGATCCTTAACTTCAGGGCTTCCTGACAGCCCCAATTTAAATGAAATGTATGAACATGTAGTCAGTGATTTGCGGTTAGTGGATGTTCCAAGCTTCTTCTCTTTTATACTCAGTAATCCAGCTCCCTGGCTCTAGGGTTAAGTTGGTTTTTTGTTTGTTTGTTTTGAGAAGGGTCTCTTATGTAGCCCTGGCTGTCCTGGAACTTACAGAGATCCACATGTTTCTTCCTCCTAAGTGTTGAGGTTAAAAAAGTGTGCCACCACACCCAGCTCCCTGGTTCTAGTTTCTACAATGTTCTTTTCATTTTTTTATCCTGTTACTAGAGTTGTCTTTCCTAAGGACCCTTTTTAAGCATCTTAAGTGTTCTGTATTTTCCCACAGTATAGACAGGCCTTCCTGATGTGGCTGGCCAGGTGCAAGGGTGGCCTCCTCCTCTAAATACATCTTTCTAGCTTTGTATGTCCTAGCTATAGGAGACTGCTAAATATTGCCCCCAAACCTTATTTTGATGTAGCGTTTTGGTCTTTGAAGCAAAATACTTGTTTTTCTTTTTTCCTGTTTTTTTTTTGCATCCATGCCAAAATTTAATTAGTAAGTACAATTACAATCTATGTCCATATTAAAAGGTGTGTAAATATATAGACATATAAGTATATATGTAACAAGTACATATATCTCAGAAGCTATTCATTATCACAAAAGGTAGCATGCAGTAAGCGCTTCCTATGAGATGTATTATCTGTTTACATAGTAATGTAAGCTTATCCAAACTCACTGTCTCATCTGATGTGAGCTGAACTTAAATGATAGTCACTGTCTTTGTCTTTGTAAAGGCTTCAGTCTAAGTTTAAATTTGAAGACAAAAAGTAAGTCTGTGGGAACTGAGGCACCTCACCCAGAACACTTAAGCCTTAGAATATAAAGAATTTAAATGTTTGGTCAGTTAACCGGTTAGAGAAAAAAGAATTAACATTTGTATGTACCAAGTACTTAACGTACATTATATCATGTGATCCTCTGAAACCTCTACAGGGTAGGCATGTAGGTATTTATAGGTGAGAAAAAGGAGGATTAGAAAGGTTGTTTGCCTAGGACATGAAGCCTGTGAGCCCGTCTCTGGCTGCCAGGCACTGCCCCGAGAGTGGTGTCTGGTTAACAGTGTTTGCTGAGGCTTTTGTTAGCTGCAGTTTCTCTTCATCGGTGGTGATTCTCCAGATGGTTGACTGTTTCCCCTCATGTTAGAGAAACAAGATTGGGGGGCTGTTCCTCTTGGGGTCTGTGTTCTTTTCCTTTCTTTCTCTCACACCCCTGTGGCCATGAAAATAACATTTGGTTTTCTGTAATTTGTGCTTGTTATTTTTTTTAAGGGTTATAAGGTGTGTAATTGTGTATGCATTGATTCTAAACAATTAGAAAGCAAGTGTCTGCTTAATACAGTCAAAGGAAGGAGATGAAGTTCTTCATAGCAGGTAACTTCATACTTTTGATGTGTTATTTTTCCTCTTCTAAATAGCTTTGCTCCTGCATGATTCACAATCAAGGATTTCAGTGTCTTGAATATGGGTGACAAGGTCAGGGGTAGCAACTAAGGTTGTCTGAGCTGGTGTGTTCATTGACTTAGATGCTTTAATCTTCTCAGTAACCCTAGGAACCAATAATGTCTTTATGTCCATTTATAGATGGGAAAAAAATCAAGATGAAGAAAAAGTGGGAAATTTATTCAAAGTTAGGATGGTGCAGTGTCTTGGCAGTTTTAAGTCTGAATTACTTAAAATTTATGTTGTTACTAGGTTAATTAATGTGCTGTTTCTGATTGTAGATTATCATCAGTATGAGAATGACTAAGCTTAGTAGGGTTATATGTAAGTCACTTGAATTACTGTGGCATCATTAAGAAACTAAGCAGGTCTTTCCTTATTGTTAAGAACATTTGTAATTATGGATACAGAAAGGTGCTTGTATTAGTTTCGCTTTTTGTTTTTCTGTGATATGTGCCTGAGGGAAGCAATTTAAAAAGAGCAAGTATTTGTTGTGGTTCACAGAGGTTTCTGTACATAGTAGAGGTCTCCATGTTTCTGGGCCTGTGGGAGGCTGACACTGAGGCAGGACATGGGCCTGTGGGAGGCTAGGGAGAGTTAGGAACATGTCTCTTTTTCAGTGTGCATCCTCCATCAAAGTAAGCCCCAGCTTTCATAATTCCTACACCTCCCAATGGTGGATTAGATTTTGAATCCTTCTGTTGATCACTTCATTGATGAAGGCAGAGCCCCCATGATCTTGTCAGAAGCGCCACCTCTGAGAACAGATTTGCTGGGAACCAAGCCTTTAACACATGACATTTTTTGAGGGGTGCTTTGTACCCAAATCATAATAGTGCTTCTGTTTACTCTGTAGAATGTCATTGAAACAGACAGTTTTATGTCTAAATGCTGGCTAGGGAAATAATGTTGTTTTAGGTTACAACAGTGAAAGGATTTTTGAAAGGCTTGGCTGGCGTGTTTATCTGGAAGGCAAACATCTTTTCTTTTTAGCGAGTAGTAATACTGGATTTTAAAATTGTATTTTGCAGCAAGAACATTTGAGTTAATACAAACAATATTCTTATAAGTTTGGGAAAATATTATTGTCTGAGAATTATACTAATATGCTTTAATGACTAACTTAGGGTTTTTATTCCTGTGAAGAGACACCATGACCACAGCAACTCTTATAAAGGAAAACATTTAACTGGGGTGGCAGCTTACAGTTTCAGAGGTTTAGTTCATTATCATCATGATACCACATGGTGGCATGCAGGCAGACATGGTGCTGGAGAAGGAGCTGAGAGTCCTGCATCTTTGCTTGCAGGTAACAGGAAGTGGTCCGAGACACTGGTCGTGGCTTGAACCTACAACCCACAGTGATATACTTCCTCCAACAAGGCCATACCTGCTCCAACAAAGCCATACCTCCTAATGATGCCACTTCTTATTATGGGGGCCAATTACATTTAAACTACTACAATGACTTTTTGTTAAACTTGGTAATCACCCTTTGTATTTTCCTTTATAAAGCTCATCAAAGGACATGGATGAAAATGAAAACAGCCAGTCTCCAATGACAAGCTATCAATATCCTAAAGAAACAGTAAGGAAGCGCCAAAATTCAGTACAGAATTCAGGAGGAAATATGTCTTCCAGGTTTTCCAGGAAGAGCTTCAAACTGGATTATAGACTAGAGGAAGATGTAACTAAATCGAAGAAAGGAAAAGATGGGAGATTTGTTAACCCATGGCCAACATGGAAAAACATCTCTATCCCAAATGTTCTTAGATGGCTGATAATGGAGAAAAATCACAGCAGTGTTCCAGGTTCCAAAGAGGTAGGCAACATTTAGCTGTTTCTGAATGCTTTGTGTGTACTTTAAATACATATATATGATTTAGTTTTTCTGTGAGGTATGACCCTCTATTTATCGATTTGAGCTGTTTCTGTAAGGTAAGACATAATGGTAAGTTTGAAGAGACAAATGAATCCTATGACTCATATCCTCAAGTTCCTAGTTTAGCAGCACAGTACATGTGTAAATAATCCCTTCTCATCTGTAGCCAGAGGCTGGGGTAAAGTGCTTTAGAAACAGAGGGGTGGAAGTGGTCAATTTTGACTGGTAGGGGTTGTCAGGAGTATGTGTGCTGGTCCTAGAAAGCTATTTTGCAGTGGTTTTCTAGGTCAGGTAATCACATGAACCATGTTATAAAGGTGAGAAAGTGCATGGTGTATTCCAGAAAGTAACAGGCTGATAAGAATTTGGAATATGGATTCTGCAAAGTAAGGCATGACCTAGAGTGTGCCTTTAATCCTTGGACTCAGCCACCAATGCTATAAAAATCTTTTGATATTCCTTGCAGAGCTGTGAAGGTTGACTACAATTTATTGCCTCCAACTACAGTAGCTTCACTAAGGATGTAATTTGTTACCCTTTAGCATAGAGAATACTAGAAGAGTAAGATGTGTTTTGGCAGGGCTGGATGAGTAGGTGATGGTTCCCATTACAGTGGCATCTTCTTTTCCTTTCAGATTCTTTCTTAGTTTCCCCTATACTTCCTATCATCTTCCTTGAACTCCGATCCTGCCTGGCTGTTGGGGAGTTAGGGGCAGGGTATCTGGCTTTGTGGGTAGAGGGATGATATGAAAAGACTAGGGGCATGCCTGAAGACTTTGATCTACAATGGGAAGAGGTAAGGGGCTATGGGTAGAGAGGTGGATTTTGGTGTTAGATCTACTTGGTAAATGTTGCATGCTTTTCTTTAAAGGATATAGGATTGAAAATCTTACATCATGTTGGGTGTGGTAGTGCACACCTTTAATCCCAGTACTTAGGCAGCAGTGGCTAGTGGATATCTGTGAGTTCAAGGGCAGCTTGATCCACATAGTGAGTTCTGGGACATCCAGGGCTATACAGAAAGACAGTCTCAAAAAAGGGGAGTAGAAGTAGGGAAGAAAAGAAACCTTCTATCACTTTGGTGCTAGAAATATTCATAGTAATCTATATATAGTATATCTATCTATATGTATGTACATACATACATATATATGCATATATTTGCTGTGCTAGAGATTAAACCTCGATCCCAATAAATTGTTTTGTTTTGTTTTGTTTATTGAGATAGGCTTTTACTCTGTAGCCCAGGTTGGCCTCAAACTTGTAAACTCTAGTGCTAGGATTATAGGTATGTTTCATCATGCCTGGCCTCAATATTGTTTTTTAAGGACCTTTTAGAATTAGGTTAGACATTAATATATAACATTAGTATTTGGAGCATTTTAGGATGAGACAAAGGAACAAGGAGAGTGTCTTGTTCATTTGTTTTTGAGGCTCAGGCTCCCTATGTAATTCAGTCTGCCCTGGAAGCTACTTATCGCCAGCACTAGCCGTGAACTTGTGCTCTTCCAGCCTCATTTCCTGAGTGCTGGGATTACAGATGTGCACCACCACACCTGCCTGGCCTCCCCCCCCCCCCCATGAACAACTGAGGAAAACTAGGAGGAGAGGGATTAGGGGTATAAGGTGAGCTATCTGGGTTTTTTGTTTGTTTGTTTGGTTTTTTTTTTTTTGGTGTAAATTTCTCTCCACAGCTTCTAAAAATAGAGGTTAGCGATGATAGGTTCAGTATTGTTTCATTTCAAAGAGTAAGTGGCTGGATGAAGGTAGAATTATATCTCTTCATTCTAACAATTTGAGAGATTCTAAAAGCTGGGTTGACTCTCTGAGGACCTGCCAGGCCAGTGTTTTTTTTTTTTTTTTTTTTTTTTTTTTTGGTTTTTCGAGACAGGGTTTCTCTGTGTAGCTTTGCGCCTTTCCTGGAACTCACTTGGTAGCCCAGGCTGGCCTCGAACTCACAGAGATCCGCCTGGTTCTGCCCTCCGAGTGCTGGGATTAAAGGCGTGCGCCACCACCGCCCGGCCAGGCCAGTGTTTTTTAAGGGACTATTTGTCCCTTTGAGAAACTAATAAAAGCTGTAGAAGAATACATACATGTAAATAAGTACATTGCCATTGGCTATATCATCGTGGATCTTACAAACTCAAGTCTGTCCATTCACTCATTTATTTAGCTAGTATTTACTGAGCACATGCTATGTGTTTGGCACACTCTATTATGTGCTAGAGAGTGAATAAACAAAGTCAATAAGGCACTTGTGTGGAGTTTTAAAATGTAAGTGTGGTGGTGGTCACACACATCTTTAATCCCAGCACTTGGGAGGCAGAGGCAGGTGAATCTCTTGAGTTCCAGGACAGCCAGGGTTACACAGACAAACCCTATCTGGGGAAAAACCAAGCCAAACCAAACCAACTAACCAACCAACCAACCAGACAAAATCAAACCATAAGTGCAACAGTGAAAAGGGCAGGGAAGTGAGGGTGGTAGAAGTGTGGCTGCATTCCTCAGTGAAGCTTTTCTTTTTAAAGGCAGGTATTAGAAAGATACCAAGGGGACTCAGATCTTTGAATATGCCATCAGTACAATCTGAAAGAAAAACATCTTTGCACTATTCCAGTTTGTGTTTCCTTATTTTTTTTTAGGTTTTTCCTGAGACAGAGTATCTCTGTGTAGCCCTGGCTGTCCTGGAACTCACTCTGTAGACCAGGCTGGCCTCAAACTCACAGAGATCCTCCTGCCTCTGCCTCCTGAGTGCTGGGATTAAAAGTGTGTGCCACCATCACCACCTGGCTCTAGTTTGCATTTTCATTTTTCACTTCTTCTCTGTCTTATTTCTTCCTTGTCTTCAGTGAAAGCCTAAATTTAGATCAAATATATTCTGGCTTCTCTTATTTCAGGGTTGATTGTAACTTTGTGTTTAAACATGTTTAAACAATTGCTGAAAGGTTGAGCTTTATCCAAGTATGGCAGAGTTACAGTTTCCCAAATCTTGAAACAAAACCATGGGGAAGTAGGTGAAGAACCAAGACTGGAGGTCAACTCCAATTTAATCAGATTTCTGGAAGTTGTTTTGTTAGATATTGGGAGGCTAGCATTAATGAGAAGATTATAGCCTTAAGTCATTACTTTGAAATGAAAATAATATTTGCAGAGAATTATTATATATTATGCTATTTATATCATTATACTACACTGTATTTGTTTACCTATATATATGAAAGTGATGTAGAAGAAACATATGATTAATGTATGTATTAATGGGTTGGGCATAAGCAGGAAGCATAGTTTAGTTGCCTGGTGAGAAAGAGTTTCTTTCCTGGTCCATTGCTGGTCCCTGTCTGTTCTAGAACATTAGGGCAGTGTGTCAGCTCACAGGCCACACATTGTTCAGGGGATGTTGTTGCTTTGCACTGTTGTTGCCTCCATAACTTTGTCTGATTGTTAGTGTGACTTATAGTCACCAATAGAGGGGAGAAAAAAAATAACACTTTAATAACATTTTAAGGTTGGAGGGATGTTGTTGGTTGTTTTTGCTTTTTTCGGGGACCCGTCTCCCAGCTCCCAAATAAATCACACACGGAGTGCTGTGGGATGGTCTGTATGACAAATGTGTTGCTGATTAGTCAATAAATAAAACACTGATTGGCCATTGGCTAGGCAGGAAGTATAGGCGGGACAAGGAGGAGAATAAAGCTGGGAAGTGGAAGGCTGAGGGAGAGACACTGCCAGCCGCCATGATGAGAAACAGCATGTGAAGATGCCGGTAAGCCAGGAGCCATGTGGCAAGGTATAGATTAATGGAAATGGATTAATTTAAGCTGTAAGAACAGTTAGCAAGAAGCCTGCCACAGCCATACAGTTTGTAGCCAATGTAAGTCTCTGTGTTTACTTGGTCGGGTCTGAGAGGCTGTGGGACTGGCAGGTGACAGAGATTTGTCCTGACTGTGGGCCAGGCAGGAAAACTCTAGCTACAACAGAGGCTTATTCTTAATTAGGAATGCCTGGCCTTTGCTTGGCTTGTTTCTTGCCGGCTTTTCTTAAATTAACCTGTCTTTTGCCTCTGTGCTTTTACCTTTCTCTGTTTTGTATACCTTTCTTTCTTACTCCATTGCTGCTGTGTAGTTGGGTGGCTGGCCCCTGATGTCTTCCTCCTTCTCTTGCTCCTAGATCTCTCTTCTCCCAGATTTCTCCTTCTATTAATAATTCTTTCTGCCTGACAGCTCCGTCTATCCTTTCTCCTGCCTTGCCATTGGCCATTCAGCTCTTTATTAGACCATCGGGTGTTCTAGATAGGCACCATAACACATCTTCACAAAGTTAAACAAATGCAACATAAACAAAAGTAACACACCTTAAAATAATATTCCCCAACAGAGGGAGACAGACACTTCTTGAGTGTCATTAGTTGGAGGAGGCTGTCAAATTGAAGAATAGGCTGCCCCAGCATGGCTAAAAAAGTGGGACTGCACGAGTTTGGGAACCAATTTTATGCTTTTCACTGACTGTGTGACCTTATTTCTATTGCAGTCCCCTGAGATACTCTGCTGTGGTTTAAATTTCACTTGACCCCCATAGCTCATGTGTTAAAGATTTATTCCTCAGCTATGGGAAGTGGTAGAAACATTCAGAGGTAGGGCTGAGTGGGAAGGTCTTCTGCCCATTGCTGGCGTGCCCTTGAAGTAATAGTGGGACTCTCATCCTTTTCTCCTCATTTTCCTTTCTGGGCAGGGAGGTAAGGGCCTTGCTGTATTGTAAGTTCCCTGCCATGATGTGCTGCCCCCTACAGACCCCAGAGCAACAGAGCCACTTGACCATGATTGAAACCTCCCAAACTGAGCAAACCCAACCATCTCTTTGCTACCTATTTTCTAATTTCACCATGGCATCTGGTTTTTATTTAATCCTGTAGTCAGCACCTAGTAGGTGTTTTCAGTCTGAAA